ATGCAGCCAGGAGGCCCAGCCGTGGGATCATGAGTGGGGGAAGCTCAAAGGCTGGGAGAGGGAGTTGGCAGGGGCTTATAAGGGTGCTCTGCTCTCAGCATCTTTCCTCCCCGGCTACCAGGGGGACAGGTTCCCTCCCCAAAGGGCTAACACCCACTGCAGGGTAGGCCCCCTGAGCCCTCACACCTGAGTCGGGTAAATGCTTCCAGAACTCCCTAAGAACAGGGCTGGGACTGACCCAACTCCACTTCCCAACACTGGGCTCTGAAGAGCACCAAGAAACATCCTGATAATGAAGAGGGCAAGGAGACGCCATCACGGCTCTGGCACCTGCACATTTAGCTGGACCTCTCTTCAGTCTCATTGTATTTATATGAGGTCCTGCTGCTATTCACAGGCTGGCAAAAGAAGCAGTATATTCAACATGCAAATAAAATCATCTTCTTTCTCAAAGGAGTTAAAACGGGTTAACAGGATGCAGAACCTCTATATACTCCTCAGATGGGCTGTGTGTTGGTGAGGGTGTGAAGCGGCTGAAACTCCTGCTGCTGGGAGGATACCTGCGAGGCTGTGGGTGTAACCAGGCCTTACCTACCACCCAGCAATCTCACCTAGGGATTAGGCTGAACCACACGACACTGCTAATATTCAACCACTTTTGACCAATGATGGCAGTTTCACATATGAGACTTAATGTATACCCAACAAAAATGAATACATATGTTCATCTAAAGACACATGCTTGATGCTCACAGCAGCATTTTTCATAATAGCCTAAACTGGACAACACCAGGTGCCCACCAACAGTGGGAGAGACAAATAAACTGTGGTGCGTTCGCCCCAGCACTGAGAGGTGAGCACTGGGGACAGAGACCTCTGGCCATACCCAGCAATGAGGTGAGGCCCGCAAATGCAGCAGGGCCACACACACAGGCACGATGGAGCGCTGGTGCAGACTCCACACTGACGAAGTTCAAGAACAGGAGAACCCAGCCATCCTGTGAGAAGTCAGGTGGGGGTCCTCCCAGAGGTGCAGGGCTTTTTGGGTGTGGGTCATTGTCTGTCTCACAACATAGGGGCTGGTTACAAGGGTATGTTCAGTTTGTAATAATTTATCACGTTCTGTATGCTTTTTTAATATGCGATTTCCTGTATATACGTATAATTCAATAAAAAGTAAAAGAAAAGAAAAGGCTGGTCCTGGCTATCCTTTAGTCTAGCCGTTACAGAGGCCAAGCCATCCACCCGCTCTGAATGCTGCCTGCTTTTCTCTGTGTTGGTCAGCCATGGCCAAAGAGGAAGTTCTTGAGGAAGCTGGATAGGAAGTTCAACCTGGACAGGAAGAACTCTCCCCAGGTAGGTCATCAAGCCCTCCTGAAAGTCCCTTTACCTAAAGTCTCTTGTGTTTTACCAGCTGGTCCAGGGAGATTGATTGGTCCAGCATGCCCTGGCCCGACAGGAGCCTGTGAAGTCCTGGAGGCCCCATCCTGCTCAGGTCCCTGCCAGGCCAGCAGGGGGCGTCCTCAAAACATGGGTACTGTCCATCTGCTGCTCTGGGAAGACACACCACTGGGAGTAGAAAGGCAGGAATGCAGGCCCCCGTCTTACAGATAAGGAGGTAGAAGCCCAGAGAAGTCAAAATACCTGCCGAGGTTACACAGTGAGTACAAGCAGTGCTGGGAGGAGGTAATGACCCTGATAGGAGAGCTCTGGAGGTCAGGGCAGGGTGCATGGGGCTGGTGTCCTGGGGGAGAGCCACCGGCCACAGCTAGTACAGACTCTGCCCTCAGCCAGGATCCCCACACAATCTGCAAGGGAAGCGCATATCAGGACCCTTGCCAGGGCTGTGCTTGCCAGGGGCAGCCAGCTACCCACCAGGCCTGGTCACAGGAAGTGCTCCTTCCAGGTCTGACTCCAGACAGACCTCGTCTGTGGCCACTGCAGGCTTGCACAGTTCAGGTTGGGATGTCCTATCTTTTGCAAGAAAAAAGCCACAATTCATTTTCCTGACATCAAATACTGGGGCCAATGAGGCAGGAGAGTGTACTGGGGAAATTCCAGAATGAGGTGGTTGTTGGGGGTGCAGATGGGGGTGGGGAGGGGAGGGGGTGAGGTGATTTGTGACTCTATGTGTGAGAGGCAGAGGGAGGGAGAGATGCCCGGTAGGCAGGATGAAGGGATAGGCACTACCTAAGGAAGCATGGGAGCAGGCTCTGCTGTCATCCATACTCCTCCTTTTCTTAAAGCTTCAGCAAACTACATCCATCCAGTCATTAAGAAAAACAACAACTTATTGAACACCTACCCTACTCAGTCAACTGCTCTAGACCCTGGGGATAGAAGCCCCTGGGTTCTCAGGGAACTCAGAGTGAGGCAGATGATAGGAAAGTTAGCAGGAAGAACTTGAAGACCGTAAAAGGGGGTGACTGAGGAGAGAGAATGTATGATGTGTGCAGTAAACCTTAGTGGGAGGCCTGAGGGCTGTGTGAATGATGGAGAGGAGTCAACTGCCCCAAGAGCTGGGGATGATTTTCAGGGAGCAGGTGCAGGTAAAAAGGACAAAGCCTGTAGACTCCTTGCCTTGGGCCCCTCTTCTCTCCAGCCTTGGTGCCACCATCAACTCCAAAGCCCCTGGGCCCGCCCCTTTTCAGCCCCACTCCCACCCCTGGGTTGGTCTCACCTCTCCTCTTGGCTCCTGCAGGCCCTTATCTTTCCTCTACCACAGCATGAATCACCCGAAATTAGGTGTGCTTTCTGACATCTGTGCCTTCCACCCTGTCACCGAGTGCGCTGTCTAAATTCCAGACTTGACTATGTACAGCCAGCTCAGAAACATGCAATGGCTCCCACAGCCTAAAGGACAAAGTACCAACTCCTCAGTACATGTGGCCCACAAGCCCTGACCATCCTTCTGGCCTCATCTCCTGGGCCCGGACAGTCTTCATTATACTCTGTTCTCCATGTGATGGTTTCAAAACATCCTCTTCTCCTTAAGAGGTGCAGCTTAATTCTCTACTTTTGAGGCTGGACCTGATGACTCCCTTCTAACAAATTATGACCAAAAAGATGGCGAGTGACTTCTGAGACCCAGTCCTAACAGGCGCTGCAGCTTCCTCACTCTCTCTTGGATCACTTGCTCTAGGTAAAACCAGCTGTCGTGTCACAAGGATACTCCAAAGGTCACGTGGCAAGGAACTCAGGCCTCCTACCAACAGCGATGTGGGCTGGCCACCTTGGAAGTAGCTTTTCTGGCTCCAGTCAAGCCTTCAGATGAGGCAACCCTGGCCAACATCTTAACTGCACCCTGATGAGAGCTCCCAAGCCAGAATCACCTAGCTGAGTTGCTCCTAGCTCCTGACCCACAGAAACTATGAGAGAATAACTACTTGTTGCTTGAAGCTGCTGAGTTTGGGGATAATTTGTTACATAGCAGTTAATAATGAATACATTGCATATGTGCCAACGCCTCTTTGATGCTTCCGGGCCTTTGCACATGCTATTGTCTTTGCCTATGATACTGCTCACACTCAGACCTTTCCAGAAAGCTCCTCACCATCCTTTAGGGTCCAACAGAAATGTCATCTCCTCACTGAATCACTGCCCTATCCCAGTCTGACCTAGAGCTGGCCCCCGCCCTGTGACTCACCAGCCCTGGATATGTTTCTAATATGGCCCTTCCTACTCCACATTGTCCCTGACGGCTCAGGGGCCTGACAAGGCCCCACCACCACCCTCAACCTACCACTGTGGGCAGCAGAGGTCCAGGTACCCAGAAAACTTCAGTGGAGGCTCTGCCAACTGGCAGGAGAGCCACTGCTTAGGGTTTCTTTCCTGTGGGATGAGTGCAAAAACAAAGTATTTTTGCAACAAATATCTAAACCTGGAAGCCTCCATTCTTTCCCCCAAATGATGGGCAAGCATGAGGACTCAATGAGTAGAGGCCCCATCTCACTCTGTCCCAATGAACTGGACAAGAGGCGCTGACGTACCTGGATCAGAGCGAGCACCTTATCCTGTACAATGGTGGGAGGGTTGTTCTTGGGAGAGATGATTTTGACCAGAACACTGTCAATGAAATCTCGGTTGGCCACGAGGATGTGGAAGCGGTGGCCACAGTTCTTCACACACGTCTCCAGCACCTGATGTGGCAGGGAGAGAAACAGGTCACCACCGTGGGAGCCAGGGGAGCCCCTGGGAACTGGAGGGCAGACACGTTTCCACCACCCCTTTCCTTCTTCCAGATCATTCTTTCTGACAGTCTCCTTTAGAGTCGAACCTGAATGGCACAGGCATCCTCACACTCTAGATCAGTCATTCCTGAGGAATGAGGGCAGCCCCTTGTTGACTGAAGGCTCTAGTCCCTGTACAATAATCAGGCAATTAGTTGGTAATTGAGGCACCAGTTTTGCAAAAGAAGGATGCTTGCGTTTCAATGGGATAAAAATGACTGAGTGGTCCCTGAAAATTAGCATTTTAACTCCTCTCTCTGGGCTTCTGGATGTGAGGCATTAGCCAATGGGACATATGCTCTGTCACAAGAGAAGGCTGCTGTGACAACCTGAATTACCCAATGAGTTATTGGCCCTTATATGTGAGGCAGCAAGCGCGCGTGCGCGNAACTTGCCTGTTCCCCTTCCCCCAATTCCCCAGTGCTGTTCCCATCCCCCAATTCCCCAATAAAAATCTTAAAAAAAAAAAAAAGTTTGAAAGAAAATATATCAAAACATCAGTGGTGGTTACTTGTAGATGCTGGTATTAAAGAAAATTTTTATTTTCATCTTTGTACTTCCATTTTCTTTCCATGGGCATGTATTCTGCAACTGGTATTTTATAATCAGGAAACAAATAAAGGGAAATAAAAAAGAGAGCCTGCTGCAGGCCTCTGACTGTTCCCAGGAAGTGCGAGGCTGAGAGGGCCTGAGAGGGCCTACGTGGACTTGGTCCCTCCCTCACTGCTGCCCCGCCCAGGCCCCCAGCTCCCACAACATGAGGTCCCTCACCTGCAGCAACTCCAGGTCAGATGAGTCCTCCTGCCCAGGGACCATTTCCATTAACATCTCAGACATGACTTTTGTGTTTCCTCGAACAATGTCTAGTTCGCTCCGCAGCCTGGCAATCTGTTGGGTCCAGGGAGGATGAAAGCAGAAAGGAGAGGTCAGTTAACTTGTACCTGGCTGGTGACAGTCCCATTCACTGTGACATCAGGACACACTTCTGAATCAGTAGCAGAGGCCTCCTCGTCTCACTCCTGGTGCTGGCAGCTCTGAGAAAGTACTGAATGGGGTATGCAGCCACCCTAGAGAGCTCCGGTTACCAAAAGCTTGTCACTGGGGACTGCCCATGACGCTGAGGCAGCGCCCTGCAGGGAAAGCATGCCGGGTCCAGAGTGGACTGAGCCTTGAGCAGGAAATGATTCTCTTAGGCCTCTGTTTCTACTCTTTCAAGTGAAAGTGATGAAGTGCGTGATCCCCAAGCTCCCATCAGGGCTGGAATTCTTGTTGAGAAACCTAATAGTTATAGACTCTGGCCCCTAGGAGTTTATAATCTAAATACTATGGCCCTTGGAGAGGCTGGCCAGCAGTAGCTGCATTTTTCTGGTGTGGCAAGAGCAAAGGAGAAGGAGTGAGAGAAGACTCCAGGGGAGACCCCCTCCTCACTCAGCTCCCTACCCAGGGATAACACCACCCCGTGAAAGCTACCCAACCTGCCCATCCAACAGAGCTCCTCAAAGCTTGGGCCTTGGCCACCTCCCCTGCATCAGGGACAGCATCCTTAAGGGTGGACCTTAACCTCTCTGAGCTTCTGTTTCCTACCTGTGGAAAGGTAATAATAATACCCACATCTCAGAGGGGCACTGTGGATGATGTAAAAATGCCTGCACAGTGCTTACATACACATATACCCAATACTGACTAGGTCCCTTTCCTGTTAGCATGTCCAGAGGGCTGGACTTGGCGATTGCTCGTAACTGCATTGACCCCTCTCCACAGTGAAGCCTTTTCTGACTCCCCTGTGCCCCCCTGAGGTGTAACCAAGCATTCCCACCTCCTCCTGCAGGCCCCCCACCTCCCAACCCCCTGTCCTGGGCAGAGCTCTGCTGGACTGAGGTCTGTACCCTTAGCACAGGGGCAGGGGCAGGAGGACTCAATACATGTTTATTTGATGGACAGAGGGATGAATGGTCAGCCAGGGTGATGGGCTAGGTCCTGTGGCTCCTGTCTGCCTCTGGCTCTGCCTGATGGATGGTGGCCCATATCCTGGCTAAGAAGAAGTTTCTGGCCAGCTGCAATAGTTAGAAACCATGTAGGTCAGAAGCCCGGGGGTCTCTAGGCCAGGCCGGCTTCCCACCTGGCTCTGCTTTTTTTGTCCCTCAGGGGAACACTCCAAGCCTCCTCTGGAGTGTGCTGGCTGCCTGGAGGGCTCCTCCTGAGCTCCCACTCGCACTGATGGTGAGTCAGCAGAGGGTCTCAGTGGCTCCAACTTCAAAAACACTCACCTTCCCTCTTAACCGAAGACGGCACAGCTCTGCCCATGGGAGCAGAGCCTGGAGCCAAAGGCAGTCTTCCCCAGAGCTTCCCTTTGAGGCCAGGCCCTAGCCACGGTGGGTAATGAAAAAGGGAGTATTCAGGGAAGCAAGGCCCACAGTTCATCCACACCCTGCGTTCCAGCTGTGTGTTTCAACCGCCCCCACAGCATGCACACAGCACTTGGTGATTATCACAAGGCCCTCCTTCAACTGCCCCTCAAGCCCACAACTGCCCCATGAGGTGAGAGGGAAGGATTTCTGCCCCATTCTACTGACAGGAGACGGAGGCTTAGTGACCTGGCCAAAGCCTCACAGCGAGTACCAGGGCAGAGACTTGGTCCAGGCCGGTCTGACTGCTGGTCCTCCTCCTGCCCACACCGTGCTCCCTCCCTGGAGCCAGCAGAGCACTGAGAGGCAGGGCCCTGGTACAGCACCTCCATTAACCAGACAGAAGCTCTTGACCCCTCTGTTTAAATGAGCCTCTGTAATGATGACATTGTCTAGATATTAAATGAGGATTTTAAAACTATAAACATTGGATAGATTTTTTTTTTCAAGTCTGACCAATTCTCAAATTTTAACTAGTAGAAATTCTAGAGATTCACCTAAAAACCAGTCTCCACAACCCATCTAAAAATATCCAGCTTGGGGTTAACGGCATTAGCTTCTCAGGAGATTACTCAGGGAAGGAGGCAGTGTTTGGGATAAAGGCAGGAAGAGTGCTTCCTGAAGGCACTGGCCTCTGAGGGCTGACAGTTCTCACAGGATAAACCTAAACGTCTCTGCATGACACACAAGGCTGTTCATAACTCAGCTCCATTCATGTGCCTTTGGCCTCACCTGCTGTCACAATTTCCTCCCCACCTGGATCATGCATCTGTACCTCCCTCCAAAGCTTCCACCTGCTGTTCCCTAGCCACACTCCTCTGCGCCTCTGGACCACCCTAGGCCTGACAAGGCCCTCCATCAGCTCCTGGACTGCCTTCCAGGCATTGCTCACCTCTGCGCTCGGAGCAGCGGGTAATGCTCCTGCCACCGCGTGACCACCCTGTCCTCAATGACTTCCCACCTGTCTCCCCCACTTGACTCTAATGCAGCGGTTCTCAACCTTCCTAATGCGGCGACCCCTTAATACAGTTCCTCATGTTGTGGTGACCCCCAACCATAAAATTATTTTCGTTGCTACTCTATAACTNCCGTCCAGAAGCCGGCAACTGATCTGCCTCGCCTGGGAAGAGCGCAATGATGGTGCCAACTTGGGGCAGTGAAGCAACGTCCTCCACAACTAGACTGAAGGACAAAAGGACAGCTACTTGCCTGTTCCCCTTTCCCCAATTCCCCAGCGCTGTTCCCATCCCCTAATTCCCCAATAAAAATCTTTAAAAAAAGCAAAGTCTAACCAAGACATGCGAGTAGAAAGGGAGTGCTTCCATGGCTGACCAGAAGGGCCTGCTGTTGAGGGCGTTAAAAAACAACAAGGTGGGCACCAGGCAAACTGCTGTTGAAGGAATCTGACTGCAGGTGTGGGGCTGGACTAGTTGCCCAGGTCTCACCCAATTCAGAAAAAGGGCTCCACACACTGCGAGGAGCTGTTGAGTCCTCTCTGGGGGTCCTACTTTACCTCCCCAGGGGCTCCAGCTAACCTGACAGCACAGTGAGGCGGAGTAGCCTCAGCCTCCCTCAACCACAAGCAACCCACCCAAAAGTCCTGTGGCAAACAGCTCTCCCCACCAAGTGTCTCTGCTGTTCTGCAGGCCTGTGGCGAGGCCATACCTGAAAGTGCTCTGTGATGTGCAGGAAGCAATCGGGACGTGACCCGCCCCTAATTATGGTTGCCCATACCAGTGCATCCTGGGGCTGACACCTCCAATTTCCTCTCTTCCCATTTCTTCCACCTCCTACCCAGCAATTTACACTCGAGTCAGGAGCAGCTTCTGTTGGCATGAACATTTTGGCTGATGACAAATGTGTTTATTTCCACGGCCCCAGCCAGCACTGTGAGCTCTGAACAGCTTCTACCCAGAGCAATCTGGCAGCCGTCCAGCTCCACTGAGGGTCCTTGGGGCACATTCACTTTCCAAGCAGGCTGTGCCATTTTCCCACGTGGGAGACTTGCTGTTCGGGGTGGCCCTGACCCCTGGGAGACTCTGCCTGGCTGGCTTCTGACTGCCGGGGACGAAGAGGAGGAAAGATGTCAAGAATAACCGAGGAGCACGGCCGGCAGCCAAGGAGCCATGTCTGTTCACACAGAGCTCCCCGACTCCTGGATCTCCCGTGCTGAAAGGACAGCCTCCCACTGGTACCCAGAACCATTCCTTCTCTGTTTGATTTATAAGATAGCAGTGAGAGCTGGTAGGCTCAGAGTTGGAACAAAACAGAGGGAAGGAAAACGTCATGGGAAGCAACCTATTTTTGAAAACTGTGAGCTGACGCCAGGAGATTATGTTCTGTTTGTCTTGGCTGATGGGCTTGTTTTAAAAAAATACATACACACACACACAGACACACACACACACAGAGTATTCCTGCTGTCTGGGTCTGCTCTGGCTGTCTGGAAGCATGCTGGCTTTGTTCAGCCTACCCCCTGCTGCCAGGAGCTTCATTCTGTCCACTACAAATCCCTTGTCAGCAGGAATTCTGACGCTGACACAGCACCGAGCTGCCTCAAGAGGCCCTCTCAGTTTCTGGACTGCTTCTGGACTGATCTCAGATGCCGGTGCCTTGGGTACTGCCTAGAAGGACCCCTGACTGCAGGCTGGGAATGGAGGCCAATGCTGTATTAATGGGATGCGGGTCCCACAGGGGCAAGCCTGGTCTGCTGTAGGTGTCAGAGCAAGGTCAGGGGATTAGGAAGGGGCCACTCAGGGCTCCTCGCCTGGGCCAGCAGAGGGTACTCATCCTGGCTTCGAGAGCAGCCTGATGTGGTGGTTTCGTGGGGATGAGCTGCTCTCTGGTCTCCTGAACTAGGCTGTGAGCTCCTCCAGAGCAGGGGTCTCAGATCATGTATCTCTGTGCTTCTAGGCCTTTGCTCTAGGCCCAGAAGAGGCCTTCACCTATCCTCAGCCTGAAGCTGACGGCTTCGAAGGATGAAGGAGGCACAAGAAACAGCTTGGGACCAGGGGCAGCCCCTCCAGCTGTGTGCATTATTGGAGGACAGGGGCATCAGGGCCAAGCCTTCACAGGCTGCGACTGTGTGCTAACAGAAAGTGGGAGGGAGGTGTGGCACTTAGGGGGCCAAGATGGACGACTCCGGGTGCCAGACAAGAGTGGCAGCAGCAGGCATGTCGTGAAGCACTCAGGCCAGCTGCAGCCCAGTCCAGCTCCTGACCTGTTCAGCTACTTGCAGTTTATAGCATCCCTTCTCTGCCCCTTCAGAGGGTCACTGCTTCTAAGGGCAGTGCTGCTGCCATTTTCTAGAAACGCCACAGTTGCTAAGACGGGTGTGGTGATCTGGTGGCTGGCTCTGGACCTGGCTGGCCTGGAAACAGGCCTGAGGCAGGGGCTCTGGCTTTAGTCTGAGGGCATCCCCTCAGCCAGCCCTGCTTCTGGACCTCTTTCTGCTGTGATCCCAGGTCGGCAGGGTGTCCAGAG